CCTCGTGGGCACCAATCCGTACAAGCGCGGCCGGTATGTTGCCCTGTCTCACTGTTGGGGAGAACCTAGCGAGGAGGAGCGGGGAGCCAACTGCACCTTTACGTCCAATTTGACCCAGCGCCTCCAAGGGATCGACGTTACCCAGCTCGGCAAGACGTTCCAGGACGCCATCGCCGTCACACGAGCCCTGGGCGAGCGATACCTGTGGATCGACTCGCTCTGTATCATCCAAGACGATAGGGGCGACTGGATGCGCGAATCCAAGTGCATGGGCGACATTTTCTCGCGTGCGTACTGTGTCATTGCAGCAACAGCTGCCACAGGCCCCCAAGACGGCTTTCTGAGGCCGCCGCCAGACGGATTCGTCGCCCTGCCTACTCCGTGGGATGCCCCGCTGTACGTCTGCGAGACGGTCGACGACTTTCGCGGGGACGTCGAACACGCCGGCCTCAGTCGGCGCGGCTGGGTCTTGCAAGAGCGGGCGCTGGCACGGCGGACAATTCACATTAGTGGCGGCCAGACGTACTGGGAGTGCGGTCGCGGCATACACTGCGAAACTTTGACACTCTTGAAAAAGTATGATACCCCCTTACCCCCCTTCCTTCATTCCCGTAACCCCCCCCCCTCCCGCCCTCCATCCCCATTACCTTTCCTCGTCTGTTAGCTGATATCTTTGCTCTCGTCTAGCCAAGAAGCAGGCTTCCTCGGAGACCCGCAGTTCCCTACCCTTGCGATGGCGCAGGCGGCTACCACCAACACGCAACATCATGTGTTCCAGTCCGTCTTCAAAACCTATTCCCGGTTGGAGCTGACGCGCGCCACCGATCGACAGATCGCTGTGGCTGGCATTAGCCAACGTCTGGCGGAGGGGATGACGTCGTCGGTCGCGTTTGGCGTTTTTGACAAGTTCGAGTACCTCCATCGCAGCCTCCTGTGGCGCCGAGCAGGCCATGTGTTTCTGCATTGGATCAGGAACAACACCCCAAAGGTACCGACGTGGTCGTGGATGGCATTCATGGGAGCCATCGATTATGTGGACTGCCCTTCGAGCGAGATCGAGTGGAATCCCGATATCCGCCTGTCCATTGCAGAGGAAACAGCGACAATAACAGCACCCGTTACGAACTTTACAGCCAAGATGCTACAAACACCAGACCTTTTGATCCTGGATTATCGGCCAAGAGCCGATGGCGAGGACCTCAAGTGCGTCATAGTCGGGAAAGAGCCCTCGGAGAACCCAGACAATGCCGTCTACTACGTCTTGGTTGTCCTGGCGGCGCAAGGTGGGAGTGGTACAGGCACTGAGTACGAAAGACTCGGCGTCGCTGCCCTCCGCGCCAGTCATATCGCGCTGGACTCTGCCCCTGAGCGTGATGCTCGCATCATCTAACCAACAACCGGTCATCGGGTCCGACCTGGCGCTAGGAACAGTATATTAACCAGCTCGACTTGTGCCAGTTTCAGTTCATACTTACATAATCTGCGAAATCGTCCAGAACTTGTTAATTCTACCATCTACAGAAGCCTTTCTCCCTTCTCCTTGTCCCCCTGGCCCAATATCAACGCCACCAAGTCAGGGGACTTTAGCACATGTGAAATATACCCCACAACTTTGATCATGTCCCAAGGCTCCAACCTGCGTGTGTCCTCACTCATCTCTAGGTAGAACCCAAGATCTTTAAATCGCTCCCGATGAGCCACTGAGAGAATCCCAGATCCCTGCCTCTCTTCCAAGAGCTCGTGAAACCGCTCCCTCTCATACTTGGTCAACCGAGCTCTGCGGTTCTTTTTCGGGAGTTCAGACTTCCAAATCGCCTTGGTCTTGACGGGAAATGTGGTGATGAGCCAGCGGAAGTCGATCAAGGCGTCCAATTCCCTCCCATCTCTGCGGATGATCGAGTCCAATCTGTTCGATAGGAGCGTCGAGATGTTTCGGAACGACAGGGAGCACTCGTACCCCTGACGCCGGGTTGCTGAGTCCGCGGCGACATAGGCTCGGACACAGTTGCCTAGATCTGACCAGACGCTGGCTGTCCTGTCTTGAGTTCATGTCAGCCGCCGGCACGTATCCAAGTTGTGAGATAGACTCGGACGTACCACAGAAATATATGCTGCCTCTCACGAAACCCCCAGGCTGCTTGGGGCCCCAGCTCTTGACGGCTCCGACTCTTACGAGTACATGCACCGTCTTTCCGGTCTGCGGTTTGTAGTCATTGAAATGGATGCTATGATTACAAGCAATGGGGTTAGTACTACATTCAATATCGACCGAGGCAGGATACGAACCGATCGTCTTTCGAGATTGCCTCCTCCAGCTTTTGCATAGACTTTGGTGTGAACCCAATCTTGATTCCGACATTGACCGTCTTGTCTATGTCGGCTTGGGTCTCGAGTGGACCCCAGAAGGTGCTGAATACAAGCTTGGAGATGGCATGGAGGGCGGAGAACTGCTGCTCCAGACTAAAAGTCCTTGCGTCCTGGAGCTCAGGGTGTGGCATATGCATGGTGGCAGAGTCGTTGGCTTGGCTGGATGTGCTTGGTCGTTCCAGGGCATGGCTTGTATAAAAGCTGGGGAACATGGGTGGATAAATTGTGACAACAAAGATATCTAAACTTGGGGCAGCACATGGGGTAGTTTGTGCAGGGGCTTTAAGATGTGGTCCGAAATGTATTATCACTCTGGCGACAAAGCGATAAAGCTCCGGGTCGTCTGCTGCAGTGATGCAAACGGAATGAGTGCTCAAGGGGAAATTTAAAGTTGCTGTAGCACAAAGAAAGTGGAAGAATCCGCCCCGACCCGTGGCCAGCTTGAGGTCAAACCTTGGATGAATTCTTTGTCTTTGTTGTGCGACGCACGCTATCAGGAAAAAAGGGGACCGCCTACATAGCCGTGTTTAAAGTCCAAAGTCCAGAGAACCTCCTCAAATACTACTCGACCTCCGAGTCCATCTCCGAGTTCGCCTCCGAGTCGCTTTCGACTAGCTCCATGATGGTTCGGAACTTCGCCCTCTGTAGTTCGGAGAGCCACACTCTCCTCATCTCCTCTCCAATGTACGTGATTTGCATCGCCTGAGTTGTGTGGGATGGCTTGACTGGGTGGGTCTGGACGGATGGACCTAGCCATTTGCAGCGGAATATCGATTTGGTCGGGATTGGGAACCTGGTGATGAGCCAACGAAGGTCAGCAAAGGCAGAAAGCTCCTCCCCATTTCCGAAACCAATCGAGTCAAGCCTATCCCGTAGAAGTGTGAGAATATTCTCCATATTGAGCCAGTAGTGTTCCTTCCCCATCTTTGGATGGCATGGACCAGGACATGTATCATCTGTCAAGTCGCTACGATGAGCAGATTGAAATTCTGGCTCCTGCTCCATGTGTTGTGTAAGTGCTGTAGCTATCACGTTCTTGTACATGACCTCATCGTGTTCATAGTACTGGGCTTATTGATGTCAATATAAATCTGGGTATTTTGGCAGGATCAAGCTTGGGCACGACGTACTTCTGTCGGTGAATCCAATCCTACACCTTACAAAGACTTGCTCCGCACCCGAACCTAGAGGTCCTCCTCGAATTAGGGCTGTTATTTCGGACACCGATCGGATGATAACAAAGATTCTATAGGTATCCACATAGTTTAGCAATGGTTCCAAGCGATTCACTTACTACATGTACTGAGGTGGGTTACCCTTCGTCCTTGGACATTTCCCCGTCCAACAAACCTCGATACTCGAAGTTCGCCGGGGTATTATGCCTCGCCCCGATATCGATCTGGACGCTCTTATGTATTTGGCCATGGACGAATATTCTGGCTGCCAAAACTTCAGCCCGAGGGTGAGTGCGGGCTTTTGGCCGTCCCTTCTTATCAAAGGTTTGCTCTGGCAACATTATCATGGGAGACTCTTTGGCATGCATGATAGCAGCCATCTTGATAGCCTTGACAATGGTCTCAACGGCATAGAACTGCTGCTCCAGGGTAACGTTTTGAGTCGGTTCGGGGGGTCGGGTGGTTGCAGTGCGAGGAAATATGTCCAGGAGAAGATGCGGGAGAAGTCGAGTGGCATGTGCTGCCTGAGTCGTTCGGGCTGGCTGCCTCTTGCTTACCCTGTTTTTGGGACATCGCGGTGTCTTGGTCGTTGGCCGGGGCGGGCTCATCTTGTCCAGGTTGCTCGCCACACGCAGCACAGATGCGTGGTGTCCATGACGTTGGGATTGATCTGGTCCGGGGCTTTAAATACCTGTCAGTAGAGGCTGCAGGCTGGTGAAATTGAATCCTGACCAGATGGGCCCGCGGTCCAGAATGCAATTTCCAAGCTGGGGTATATTACCAGGTATATAGCCCCAATTTTCGCCGTCGTCCTTCGATCCAGTCAGCCTGCTGATGTCTGTAGGAGGGATACCGTGCTGCACGAGGAGGAAAATGTAGAGCCGATAAATGAAGTGGCTGAATGCTGTCTTGACCCGTGGTCATTGTTGAGACTTGGACCTTTTTGTTCCGCGAGTGGCATGTAGAAATGCAGAATTGCCGACACGAGATCAATGTTTGTTGACTTCAGGGGTCGTTACCACGACAAGGGTCTGAGAAAGTGGTGGGGTAATTCAGGGGCATCGACGTCGACTTGATCCCAGCTTTCCTGGCGTCCAACAAATGCCACTCCCAGTCTTGACAGACTTGAAAGCTCGTCAGTGAGCCAGACTCTGACTCTTAGGTGGTAAAGGGAAGGTCCGAAACTTCAATTCGGAGCATTGCGCCTGGCACGCGATTCTGCTGCACCTTCTGGCTATCACCCACCTTTGCATCGGGCCTTCATCCCCTGAGAGATTTGTACCCGTTCCCTCAGCATTATCATGTCGTTCACTGCGCTCTGCTTCGGATCCAGGAATACGATCACATGTTGGACGTGCGACGCGGACCACAAAGCCTACAGTGCCATCTCACAGTGCCAAGTCGCCTGGCCTGCGTTTGCCTGGGTCAAGGGCGAGTTTTCCGTCCACCAATTCCATCGGTCGAATAGCTCAGGGGTAGAGCAACCGGCTGCAGTGTTCCGATCAGGAACGAGGATCCGGTAGGTCACGTGTTCAAATCACGTTTCGACCTTTACTTTTGCTATTTGCAAATGGTTCATTTTTGGCATAAAGTGCATTGGCTCGAGATTGAGCAGCTCATTGCTGTCCTTCGTTTTTTGCGCGGAGCTCTGGCACTCGGTGGGTGAGGTCATCTTGCGCCTGGGCTTGGTGAGAGTGTGCTTCATTCACTCACCCCACCCAAACATCTGCGACTCATCAACCACCACTTGGTTTCTACCACATATGACCAGACAGATCAGTCAAATTTTCCCCTTCCAGCAACTTCTATTTTGCGTGCGAAGCGTCGCTTCAGTCATCGCGCAGAGAACGACCGACACATACCGCTGGCCCGTGCGCCCCTACCCTTGCGCCGCCTCATCGTCAACGTCACGACTCACCTCACCCTCTCACCTCACCACCTATCTCACCTCACAACCATCACCGCGCTCTAAAATGGCCGAACCAGCAGAAGACATCGACGACCACCCCACCCCCCCTCAGCCCCCCTCCTCCAAGCCCCGCAACGCCTTCGCCGAGCTCATGGCCCCCAAACCCGCCCCCGTCCCCCCTCCACCCAAGTTCTCCAAAGGCGGCAACCCGTTTAAAGGCCGAGGCGCCCTCCTCGAGTACATCCAACACCCGGAACGCTTCCCCTCCGAAGTCCTCCGCATCACCCCCCACACCGTCCTCATCCGCGACCTCTACCCCAAAGCCACCGTGCACCTCCTCCTCCTCCCGCGGTCCCCGGCGCACTACAACCTGCACCCCCACGACGCCTTTGCCGACGCCGACTTCCTCGCCACGATCCGCGCCGAGGCCGCCAGCGCGGCCGACCTGGCCGCCGCCGAGCTGGAGCGGAAGCTATCGCGGTATTCGGCGTCGTCCAAGGCGCGGAACGACGCCCTGGACGCGGGGGAGTATGAGACGGCGCCAAAGGGGAGGGATTATCGGAAGGAGATCCGCGTGGGGATCCACGCGCACCCGAGCATGTCGCATTTGCACGTGCACGTGTTTTCGAGGGACATGTACTCGGAGTGTGTCAAGCATCGGAAGCATTACAATAGCTTCAACACGCCGTTTTTGGTGCCGCTGGAGGTGTATCCGTTGGGGGAGGAGGACGAGCTGAGGAGCGTGCCGTTTCAGAATGGGAATCTGAGTGCGCCGTTTGTGTGCTGGAGGTGTGGGAGGGGGTTTGGGAACCGGTTTGCCGAGTTGAAGAGGCATTTGGAGGAGGAGTTTGTTGAGTGGAGGGCGGAGTGAGGGGGTGGTGATGGGGGACCGGAGTTGGGGGCATTGGCATGTTTATCGGGCGTTTTGGTGGAGGAAAACAGGACGGGACACGGCATTGCATATTTGTGGGGAGACGACGAGGAGAAACACTTCAGAAACCTACATCTGTACCCTTTGCTACTGTCTGTGCCAGATGAGAATGCTGGGCCAATGGTTCCCCCACCATCACCTCGGTATGGGACGATGACAGTGCTGTGCAGCACTCTTCCTCAAGGCAGTATTAGAAAGGAGAGTGTCAGGTAGACTAAGGGGGGTCTGATGGTGGCCCAAATAAAAAGGTTAGATTCTGCAGTTCTTGAGAAAGCTAACGTCACTTCGCATGACTTCTAGTAACACCTGAGCCCCTCCTCATCGAGCAGGAGACGAGGGGACGGCCCGGGGCGTCTGAGAAGCCCGGGGCGTCTGAGAAACTGCATCAGTGGTGAGCCTTGTAGCGTCCCCGTAGCCCGTTTCCTGCGACCCCTACTTACTGCGTTTGCAACGGCCGAAGGTTGTCGTCAAGACCCTCTCGAAGCGCCCTCCGGTCAAACGCAAGACGCAACCGAAAGGAGCCCAACACGAATGACAACATCTTGCCGATGTGCAACACATCGAGCTGAGACGACATCATGTCAGCCAAAACCGGACGCCGAGGCAGTAAACGCGCGTAGTGAACAAGCTCGTTCGACCATCATGTCGTGAGACGTCATGGCCGAACCTTGCTTGGCTCCGGACTCGAGATCCGTGCAGCATACCGATGCCATGGAACTCACATCCGTGATGAAACCCTGCAGGGAATGCTTAAATGCGCCGGAATCCCTCTCCCGGTCCGGTGGGCTTCGTGTACTGTCCAGGTTCCCTCGTCTCATGCACAAACACTACCCAGGCCCGCCGGAATCCCCCCCCTCAGACTCCAGAGACGCAGCAACAATTGACTCGCAAGGCACAGGTGATGCCTTGGGCCCAGCATCTTCCCGTACGGACAGGTGCCTCCTTCCGGTCAGCTTGTGATATATTTCTGGCCTCCCACATTCCACCTCTTCCACCAGAACCATCCATCAGATCACGCCACCCAGGCCATCAAACCCGGGCCACGCTCTCCAAGCCACCAAGATGAGGCCCGACTGCGGTCTCACCCTCATGCTCATTCTTGTCCTCGCCGCACTCGTTGTAGCGGCCCCAACGACACCCAATGTCCTCCCCGCACGTCGATGCACACCCCCTGGCTGCTCCCCCCGCGCCTTAGAGGCCGCCCCAACCGTGCACGCCCCCGTAGGCACGGTCGAGGGCATCACCGACCCGGCGACGCCCTCGGTCGACCGGTTCCTCGGGATCCCCTTTGCGCAGCCGCCGCTCGGCCCGCTGCGGTTCAGCCCCCCGCAAAAGCTCGAGTCGCTCCCGTCGTCCCCATTCGACGCGTCCCACCCCCCCGCCAGCTGCATGCAGTTCCTGTTCGAAAAGACCATCTACACGCAGGACATTCTCGAGTTCAACCTCCAGGGTCTCAACGACACATCCGCCGCCGTCTCGGAGGACTGCCTCACGCTCGACGTCTACACGCCGACGCCGGGCGAGTCGTCACCGACCGACCAGAAGCTGCCCGTCATCGTCTTCCTCTACGGCGGCGGCTTCGCCATGGGCGGCGCCGACATCCCGTACCAGATCCCCGCCAAGTGGGTGCAGCGCACGCAGAAGCACATCGTCGTCGTGCCCAACTACCGGCTCAACATCTTTGGCTTCCCACACGCCGCCGGGATGCAGGGCGAGTCGCAGAACCTCGGGCTGCTCGACCAGCGGCTGGCGATCGAGTGGGTGCGTGACAACATCGCGGCGTTTGGCGGGGATCCACAGAGAATCGCCCTGTGGGGGCAGAGTGCCGGCGCCGTGTCGGCGGGCTTCTACCAGTACGCGTGGGACGAGGATCCGATCATCGACGCTGTCATGATGGACTCCGGCAGCGAGTTCCTCGGGGCGGCGGTCCAGGCGACGCAGGACGTCAAGTTCTCCAACTTCACCACCGTCGCGAAAGGCGTCGGGTGTGGCGAGCTGGGACCGGTCGAGGAGCTGGAGTGCATGCGGGGCAAGGACGCCAAGGCGATCGAGAATGTCATCCAGACGCACAATCAGAAGATGAAGCCGCCGCTCCTCATATTCACGCCGGTTGTGGATGGTGTGACGGTGTTTGACGACTATGCTGTGCGCGGTCAGCAGGGGCGGATGGCCAAGGTGGTGAGTACCGGATCTCTTGTCTCTGTTTGGGACTGTCTGACACGAAATGCAGCCCGCCATCATCGGGACCAATGTCAACGACGGTAGTGCGTTTGTGCCTGTCGGGGCCAATGGTGGTGGGGGGAACCAGACTCTCGCCAACGCCGTGGGACTGTTGTTCTTCGATTGCCCGGCACTCAAGTCGGATGTGTACGTCTCCCATCGTGATCCCGTCCTTTGACGCGAGCTGACTATCGTAGGACCCGCATCGCTGCCGGAGCGCCTGTGTACCGGTATCTGTACGCCGGTAACTTTACCAACATCTCACCGAAGCCGTTTCTCGGAGCATACCACGAGGCGGAGCTGCCACTGCTGTTTGGCACGTTTGAGGACTTTCGGGGCGGTGCGACGGAACAGGAGCGAGAGACGAGCGTCGCGATGCAGGACTCGTGGCTGGCACTCGCCAGCAGTGGTGTCGCGGGGATGGAGGAAGTCGGATGGCCGCGGTATACGGGTCTCGGTGGTGAGGTGCGCGAGTTTGGTGGCCCCAGTGTGGTGAGGGACATTAGCACGTCGGCGATGGACGCGACGTGCCCGGCGTTCTTCCAGCCGTGAAGGATCGGCGCGAGACTCAGTCGCGATGGTCTGGGGATGACATTTCATCTGGCCATGGTCAAGACGCCGATTTTTCGCCTGGCTTTTGGTCTTGAGCAGCCAGCGATCGGGTGTTTTTTGCGGAGGAGTTGGCGTTGGCGTGGCGCGGGATTGCGTTTGGATTGAGAGTATTCCGTAATATCTAATGAAGCTGTATGTCAGGCAGAGAACATTCTCGTCTGCCCGTTTGACTCCGGCCGTGATGTGAGGCATTTGCCAGAGTCAGCGACCTAGGTGCGTTGATTTCATCAGCAACCGAGGGACAAACTGAAGGCGACATGATTCCAAACGCCCCCAAATCAAGCGCCAAAAATAACACAGGCCCTGAATCGCCTGCGAACCAGGGGCACAGCCCGGCAGCCGGATAGATCCGGCCAACAGTGACACCGACAGCCGTGCACACTGTGCCGACATGGTCGCGTCATCCGGCTGAGAAATCCAAGCTCAGCAAAAGTTACATCATCCCAATCTGGAACACTCCACCCGTGATCGCTCTTTCTTCTCGACGACTTTAAAGCCGCGTCGTCGCCCTACCCCTCCCTCCACCATTCCAATGCCGACCAGACTCGCCAGACCAGCCTTCAACATCCTCCGAACCACAAGACTCACACCACAGCTTCCAATTGCCCCTAGATTCTTCACCACCAGCTCGCCCAAAATGACCGTCCACAACATCGCTACGTATGTCCCCCCCGCGCGCGCCCCCGCGCCCCCGTTCCCCTCACGGTGCCCCGCGTCGAGCTGAGCTGAGCTGACCCGTCTCCCGCTCGCAGCAAGGACCAGTTCAAGGAGGTCATTGCGCGCGAGCCCATCGTCCTCCTCGATGCCTTTGCCACATGGTGCGGCCCTTGCAAGGCTGTCGCCCCCGTGATTGCCAAGTGCGTATCCCCTTCTGCCCACGACAGTCCCAGCACTGACACACCCAGGTGGGCCGAGTCCCCAGAGTACAAGGACAAGATCTACTTTGCCAAGTTCGACGTCGACCACCTCCCCGAGCTGGCGGCCGAGCTCGGCATCCGCGCCATGCCGACCTTTATTCTCTTCAAGAACGGCGACAAGGTGGACGAGCACCTCGGCGGCAACCCGGCCCCGATCGAGGTCCTGCTGCAGAAGTCACTGGCGTAAGGGGGGGACTGATACGGGAGGGATGGGGGGACGAGGCTGAATGATATCCTGAAGCGGCAGCCTCGGGGCGTATTTGTATCGGTACTCATGGAGTGGCGATGCCCTATCAGTTGTCAATCGAAATGATTACGATGCATATCCACGTTGAAGGGTGTTGTTGCCTTGAGCTCTTTGGCGAGCTGTTGTTGCTTGATGGTTAATGAGGTGGCCGATATCGACTCTGTTCCTCGACATTGTCTGGATTCCCAAGAGGCTACATGGTGCTCTGTCCAGGATCTATTCGTCCGCCTTGAACTTTGTCAGACGTCGAAGCTGAGTTTCTTGACGTCCCGCTTCCCCGTCGCACAAAGCCCCTCATAAGGGGCATTACGCAGCACCGTTTCCAACAATTCGATTCACACAGTGTTCATCACCAGTGGATTTCAGCGGTTATGGTCTAGCGGTATGATTCTCGCTTAGGGTGCGAGAGGTCCCAGGTTCAATCCCTGGTAACCGCCTATTTTTGCCTCCGGCTTTAGTTTTGTATGTCCTGGCGAGAGGGAATTGCTTCAGATGGTGGTGATGTGGTGGTGCTTGTTTTGCACGGTTGGAATGGCAGGTGTGGCCGCGGGACGAACCTCTTTTTACACTGTGCGCCATTGGCCGCCCAAACATGGCTGCAAAATTTCTCATCTCAGCAACACCCGCCAAAACACCGTCATCAAAATGCACTAGATGCGCCCCCGCCGCTTGAAGAGCCTCGAGTTCAGATTCCTCCGGCACGCAACTCAGATCCGCGGTGTCGTCAGTCCTCCACGTACGTCAGTTTCGAAGGCGCTGCAGAAACGGAGAGGATGACTCTCGCCAACTCGCGACCATGTCAGCCGACAACCACCGAGCGGAAACTCCAGTTGAAAGCGACACATCATGGAACCAGATCTCACCAACTGTGGGCCGTCTCCACGCGTTCAATTGTTGGAGACGGAGGTGGATGGAGCCCGAGAGTCAGGTCCAGGTACCAAATGGACCCTGATTCCACTTCGAAACTCTATCAATCAACAGCCCGCTTGGCTCAGTGGTAGAGCGTGTCACTAGTAACTGTCCTTCGCAAGAAGTTCTCGGTCACATGACAAGGTCGCCAGTTCGATTCTGGTAGTGGGCAATTTGGAAGCTTCTGCAGCTTCAATTCCGATTCTTTTTGGCGAATGTTCGGGAGGGCTTGTCTTTTTTGGTCCCGAGTTCCCTGTTCTCGATCCAATGTCCCAGCCGTCGTGCTGATCCGACAGGAATCTCCAAAATATCAGGACTTGCCAATTCGGACGATAGCGTACAAATCGAACCACCTATGCAGGGCGGATTTCCGCGGCTAGACACGGCCGGGGTTCAATCGCGGCCCTCCGATCGCCGGCGCCGGCCGGCGGGATCAAGAAGCCGCTGCAGCATGCGGGGAAATGGAACGTCCAGCAGGGTGGCGAGCGGGGCCGGCGCGGCGCCGACATCTTGAACATCGATAAGAAAACCGAGTCTCCTCCCCCATCACCTTGTCTGTCATCAAAGGCTCGCTCACTCTCACACCAACCGCCAAAATGCCCACCATCGTAGTTCTCGGGTGAGTCCATCCCCGACACCGGATCGTCCTCACACTCACCCATCCCAGCGCCGGCGTCATCGGCCTGACATGCGCCCTCGAGCTGTCCAAGCGCAAGGAAAACACCGTCACCGTCGTAGCCAAGTTCATGCCCGGCGACTACGACATTGAATACACCTCGCCGTTCGCCGGCGCCAACGTCCTGCCGTGCGTCCCCTGTCCATCTTCCCACCCACCCCACTGACACCCCCCCAGCATGGCCCTCGAAGAGACCAGCCGCTGGGAGCGCCGCACCTGGCCCGAACTCCAGCGCCTCGCCGCCGAGGTCCCCGAGGCAGGCATCCACTTCCAGAGTCCGTCCGCCCTCCCCCTACTCCGTACCCACCCACCGCTGACACCCCGCACAGAGGCCCGCGTGTTCCGCCGCAAGCAGGAAGAAGCCCTGGGCTTCAAGGGCGCCCTCTCCGACGGCCTCTTCGTCCCCGACCCGTGGTACAAGTCCCTGATGCCGGGGTACCGCGAGCTGGACCCGTCCGAGCTCCCGCCCAACCACGCCTTCGTCTCCGGCTGCGAGTTCGGGTCCGTGTGCATCAACACGGCGACGTACCTGCAGTGGCTGGTGGGGCAGTGCGCGGCGCGCGGCGTGGTGTTCCGGCGCGGGGTGCTGCGGCACGTCGCCGACGCGGCGGGGCGGAGCCACGCGGGCCGGAGGGCGGATGTGGTGGTGAATGCGTGCGGGCTGCAGGCGTGTCGGCTGGGCGGGGTGATGGATGACAAGGTGGTGCCGGCGCGGGGGCAGACGGTGTTGGTGAGGAATGAGAGCGGGGGGGAGATGATGGTTACGAGTGGGTGTGAGGATGCCGAGGATGAGATTGTTTATACGATGATGAGGGCGAATGGCGGGGGGACGATCCTCGGGGGGACGTATCAGAAGGGGAATTGGGAGTCGAATCCGGATCCGAATACGGCGTTGAGGATTATGAAGAGGGCGGTGGAGGTGCATCCTGAGTTGACGGGGGGGAGGGGGATTGAGGCGTTGGATGTGATTAGGCATGGGGTTGGGTTGAGGCCGTATCGGGAGGGGGGGGTGAGGATTGAGAAGGAAAAGGTTGATGGGGTCTGGGTGGTGCATAACTATGGGCATGCGGGATGGGGGTATCAGGGGAGCTATGGGACCGCCGAGAGGGCGCTGGAGTTGGTGGATGTGGTGTTGGCTGAGGAAAAGTCGAAGTTGTGATTCAGGTCGTGATACTGGTGCGTTTGAACTTTGCAGATGCGATGGCATATCGACGAGATATTGAAGCTAATGAGACGTCGCCCAGAAGGGCAGGTCAAAGTTGATGTTTTTCCCCTGTAATTACAGCACATGATAGCCCGTGATCCGAGGCTGCCAAGACAGGTGTCAGCAACAGCACCCGCCAAGCTTCAATCGGCGTTGTCCCCAACTTCATCGCGTCCTCCACGACCCGACAAGACAATCGCAACAGCATCATGGCGGACAAACCGCTCCTCGCCCAGCAGGCCACGCAGCTGGCGCTGGACGTCGCCAATGGCCGCCATCCCCTCTCCAAGCTCATCCCGCCGGCGCTGCTGCTGGCGGACGCGGCCCTCTCCGCTGGAGTGATTTGGAAGATCCCATGTACGTCGCCCCGCACAGCTCGTCTGGCGCATACTGACCGAGGACCTCTAGACACCGAGATCGACTGGACCGCGTACATGGAGCAGGTCGCGCAGTTCGTCTCCGGCGAGCGCGACTACACCAAGATCCGGGGCGGCACCGGGCCCCTCGTGTACCCGGCCGCGCACGTTTACCTCTACACTGGGCTGTACCACCTGACGGGCGAGGGCAAGAACATTTTGCTGGCGCAGCAGCTGTTTGGGGTGCTCTACATGACTACGCTGGCGTTGGTGATGGCGTGCTACTGGAAGGCCAAGGTCTGTCTTCGATATCCGGACCGATGGGCTGCGACTGACTGAATGCGACAGGCCCCCCCATACATCTTCCCCATGCTCATCCTGTCGAAGCGGCTGCACAGCATCTTCATGCTGCGCTGCTTCAACGACTGCTTCGCGGTGCACTTCCTGTGGCTCGCCATCTTTTGCCTGCAGCGTCGGTCCTGGCAGCTGGGGGCGCTCTTCTACACGGTCGGCGTTGGCATCAAGATGACGCTGCTTCTTTCCCTCCCCGCCGTGGCCGTCATCCTGTTCCTCGGCGCGGGCTTCGCTTCGAGTCTCCGTCTCGCGGCCATGATGGGCCTCGTCCAAGTCCTGATCGGTGCGCCGTTCCTCGCCGAAAACGCCACGGGCTACCTGGGCCGGGCCTTCGAGCTCTCGCGCGCGTTCCTCTTTGAATGGACTGTCAATTGGCGATTCCTGGGTCCCAACCTCTTCTCCAGCAAGGCGTTCTCCATGGTCCTGCTGTACTCGCATATCACGGCGCTCGCGGTCTTTTCGTTCGCCTGGCTCAAGCCCGGGGGCAAGCCGCTCGAGGAGGTGGTCGGCGCCGTGGCGCGTGGACGCTCGCCCTTCACGCCGACGGAACAGAAGGCGGTATCGCGCGGCGTCACGCCGCAGTATATTCTCACTACGGTCCTGACGGCCAACGTCATCGGGCTCCTGTTTGCCCGGTCCCTGCACTACCAATTCTACGCCTACCTCGCCTGGGCGACCCCGTTCCTCCTCTGGCGCAGCGGGCTCGATCCCGTGCGGCAGTATGTGCTGTGGGCGGCCCAGGAGTGGGCGTGGAACGAGTTTCCCAGCACGCCGACCAGCTCGGGCGTTGTCGTGGGCGTGATGGCCATGACGGTCGCGCGCGTGTGGTGGGAGTCGCGGAACGAATTGGCGTCGCCTCCAGGGGCGACGGTCAAGAGTGAAAAGGCCAAGCAATAGCGGCGCGGTGGAGGATCACGACTCGTCTTCGGAATCGCTGGGCGGCATCTTTCCTACGGTGGACTCGTCGTCGTCTTCGTCGTCGTATGTGTTTTTGGGGAACTGCTTGGGCCTGTGGCTGTCAGAGGACGTCTCCAGCCGGGTCGGGTCGAGACACGCACCAGTAGGGCTGCTTGCGCCACGACTTTTCGTCGCGCACGACATTGACAATCTCGCCCACGACGCGGCTCTCCTTGGGGCGCTCCTCCATGGACGCCAGGTCAATCAGCACGTAGCCGCCGCGCTTGATCCAGATGGTGTTGCGGAAGCGCGGCTCGAGCTCGACGACGATGGTCTTTTTGTTGGGCAGCTGGCAGGTGTACAGGCTGTTGCCCTCGGCCTTGACGACGCGGGCGACGGATTGGGAGTCGGTGAGCTCGTCGGGGGGTGTCATGGACTCCTGGGCCGCCGCGGCGACGGCATTGCGCTGTGGTTTGCCCATGGTGCGTGTGGTGGTGGTGGTCCTATGGGTGTTCTGTCGGGTGGTGTTTGCGCGAGCCTCGGGGAGTGCCCCGCGACGACAAAATATTTTGGATGGTGGGGTTGCCCCTCTTCGATAAGCACGCTGTCAATCCGCGTCGTCGTTTGCATCCCGATGCACAAACCCAGCGTCTGATCTTTTCCCGAGACAAAATGCATGTGCTGCAAGGAGGGCATTCCCGTCCTAGTACCAAAATTCATGTAAAATCCAGGGGTGGGCGGAGGTCGTGGTCGAGGGTCAGGATTTCAGTTAGTGGTCCTGTATCGGAGGCGGCAATGCTTCTGTGACAATCCACTACCACGTCGCCATGGTCTTTCTCGCTGACTCCTTGCCCGAGCAAAACCCATCGGCATCCCCTTTTGGTTCTCCCGAGCCCGTTGTCTCACTTCAAATCCATCATCTTCACTTGACTCGATCAACATCACCATCAACACCACAGACACCGTCACCCCTGACCCCCCTCCCCCCCCCCCATCACCATCACAATGGGCTCTACCCCCCTCCCCGCGCTCCAAACCAAGCCCAAGTTCATCTTCTTCACCGACTTCGACGGCACCATCACCTCCCAAGACAGCAATGACTTCCTGACCGACAACCTCGGCTACGGCGCGGCCGAGCGCCGCCGGGGCAACGCCGACGTGCTCTCGGGCCGGCGCCACTTCCGCGACCTCTTCCACGAGATGCTCGACAGCATCTCGACGCCCTTTGACGAGTGCATCGCGACGCTCGTGCAAAACATCCAGCTGGACCCCGGCTTCCGCGCCTTCTTCGACTGGGCCCGCGCCAACAACATGCCCATCGTCGTGCTCAGCGGCGGCATGGAGCCCATCATCCGCGCGCTGCTGGCGCACTACCTGGGCGAGGCCGACGCCGCGACGATGCAGATTGTGAGCAACGACGTGGCGCCGCTGCCGGGGAAGAGCATCAACGACGAGGCCGGGTGGGAGATTGTGTTTCACGACGACAGGTAGGTCTTCGCGAGAAGCAGGAGGCGGGGGGCTAACGCGGTGCAGCGGTTTCGGCCACGACAAGTCCCTGGAGATCCGGCCTTACGCCAGCCTCCCCGAGGACCAACGGCCGATCCTCTTTTACGCCGGCGACGGCGTCTCGGACCTGTCGGCCGCAAAGGAGACGGACCTGCTCTTTGCCAAGGCCGGGCGTGGTA